AAAGCTATCGTATTTATACATTCAAGAAGACTATGCTATAAAGATTACTAACTAATGTTTACTAATGCTAGATTTGTTTGTAAGCTATGACTAATGGCTATTACTAATAATATGATTAATAAGCTATAATTTGTAAAAAATATTTATAAGCAAAGATTTATAATCAAAGATTGTTAATATAATATGATAAGAATTCGATTGATAATCGGTTGCCAATTTTGGCAATTATAGGATTTTCCGATTTTGCCAATTTTGGTAATCGTGGGATTCGCAAAGTGTGACATTCGCTATGTGTGACGGGCGTGATCGGGAAATGTGCCGGTCCTGATAACCTGTACGCCGGACGCTTTGCTATAGCCATCACAGCGACTATCTGACCACTAAAATTACTTCATATGTAAATGACCTAAATAACCCAATGACCCAAATGACCAGGTCATTTACTCAAATAACTTGATCATTTAAATTTTGAGTCATTTACCATCCCTGCATCGCTTCACTCCGGACAATAACTTCATAACGTTTATGAAGATGCAATTTTTAGGAAAAATGCATCAAACCGTAATTTTTGTATCACTTAATGCAGAGAAATTAAGGATCCTCCGCTACACTCCGGATCAATAATATATATGAGATAGGTGCTACGGAAATTTAGAAATTTAGAAGTTAGAAATTTGGTCGTAATGGCCGGAATGCGTAGGGGTTAGGGTTTGCATTAGGGTTAGTAGGTGCTATAGTAAAATTATCAGCTGGGCATTTTTTGCTTAATGAACGACTATTGTTTCAATAGTAAAATTCTTGGTTGGGCAAAATCGATCGATTCCGGCACATCCGACCAGGTTTCCGATGCATCCGACCCAGAATTTTTGGACCTCCCTGTATTGAATCGACAAAACAAAAGATGAAAAAAAAATTTTTTGAAAATTTGTCGATTTCTCTTTTCTGTAGTATATTGACAAAACAAAAGATCTTCGAAAATCAATTTTATTAATACAACTACTTTTGAATCTTAAGTAAAAAATGATCCTAATCTTATTCTAAATTGATTTATGTAAAAAGTCAATTTGGTCACTTTTTGCAGCACCTAGCCCATATATGTTATATAATATTTTGCCTACGTAGAATATATATACATATAACATATAGGTTTCAAATTTTGTTATTTATACTCGCATAACAGAGATTTAGTGTTATTAATCCCAATTTCTGTCTTTTTTTTTCTTACTAGTTATTTCCCGAAATTTTGATATAAATGAATACAGGGAAATGTGATAGAAATGAATAACACGAGTCCCTTCATGTCGTCATATGAAATAACACATTTATTCCACTGTGTCGGAGAAAATAATTGAAACTCCCTAGTACGTGCGGGGCGCAAAGCTCCACCGGAGAAGACATTTCATTATTCCAGTCGTTCCAGTGAATAAATCGTACTTATAATCAAAAAGTTCAGAAGTTAGTCGGTTTACAGTACTAATTTTATCTCGAGAAACCATGAATATTCTTGGGCAGAGTTTGAATAAGTCACGTGCATATTTTGTGTATGAAAAATAAAATTCCGTGATGAGAGATATAAATTTACTTGTCTAGATTTAATAATTTAGAAATTACTAACAAACTAGCTTGAGAGTAACAGATTTTTATAAACTAGGCAGGCGCTTATTTTTGTATTTTTAACAATAAATTTTTAATTTTTGCATTATTTAAATAATGCCAAGTTATGGTCACTAGTAACCTAATAATCCCAAATTTTTTTTCTCTTGGACGGCCTGCATTTTTTCGGTTGTGTTTTATTTTGCTTTTTTATTTTTCTGAAGATGTATCAGTTTAAAAGAGACTTCAGTGTAATACAGTAAAAATAAATTCATAGTTTATATAGATTAGACCATACAAACTTAATTAATTGGTTCTCATAACCCGGCCGGGTCAAATTCAGTAAAATTTTGAAAAAAAATTTGACTATTACTATCCAGGTGAACTTTTTTAAATTTTTATGAAAAAATTTTGTAGGTTTTTTATATATAAAATTTTTTGAAAATAAAATTAAAAGCCAGTCATTTTTAAAATTTTATGTTATAAGAACCAAAAAATTAACTTTATATGGCCTTACTATAATAAATTTTTGCTTATATTCTAAATTTAATCATAATACATTGTAATTTTTTTAATTATATATTATATAAGCAATTGTAAAGTAAATTATTTTGCAATTAAGTTTACATCGCTATATATGACCTCGCTATTAGACATCCCCAAATAATACTAAGAGGTTACATTGGAATTTCTTGTAAAAAATTTTACCATTTTTTTTATACGTAACTATTGTTATTTTTCTGCTAGGAAGAGACAGCCAATTGATTTTTGAAGGATAGCAGTTTCGGCTCAATGAGATCAGGGACGATAACTTATCACAGCAAGTTCCCGGTAAGAATATAAAACGCACCTGGTGTTCACCACAGTTGAAAAACTAGGTAGATAATTAAATCTTTGGTGTTCTAAGTAAAAATTTTCAAAAACCTCTTTAACTTTTAATAGTAAATTTATTAAAAATATATATGTGTTGAACATCATCGGTGCGCTTTGGTACTATAATACATATCGATATCAGTTAAGTGAACCATTACGAAAGTTTCCGGCTTAAACAGACAAAATACGAGGTAAAAAGTGTAAATAAAAGTGTGAATAATGATTAAAAATGTCCGTATATTTAACTTTTATGTCCTTTGCTGGAGGTAAAACGAAAGATAAATTCCTATACCTTAACTCTATGTGCCATGAGCTCTATAGTTTCATCCTTAATAATGAATTCAAAGAACTAGGTGAATTGAAGTAATTGAAAGTTGCGTACATACAGTATATAATTTGTTAAGCAAAAGTGTAAAAGCTAGGAATATAATATATAAAAAAGAACTTTATCCGAATCATATATCGTTAATGAGTTATTTCTACTAAGCAACAATTCTTTATTTTTGCTGAACATGTTAAAAAATTGCATTATTTACATGATTTAGGGCACGAGAAAAATTTTGGGCATTTTCTTGTTCTGATTTCTAGAATAAGCAGGTTTTCTGAACCAAAGGCATACCTTGGATGGCATGCTCAAAGACCTTGTGCCCAGAGCCATAATTAAAAGAATTATCATATTGCGTATTACATGCCCCGATCCGATTAAATGATGGCTACACGGCCTGCTTCGGAGAATCGCCGTAGTAAAATATTACCGTAAACATTCTCCTAATAATTTTCATACGCATAATTCGAACTATATCAATATTTATCAATATTTATCAATATTCGATTTACTAGATTTACTCAATCAATATTTGCATAAACACACGAAAGAGTAAAATTATAAAGTCATTCCTTTAATACTCGTGGTATCATTTCCAAAATATTTATATATAATAAACTACTAATACTTTCATTATGATTCAAACATTTTGCTTAAAATTTTCTTGCCTACCTGCCCAAAGAAAATAAAAATTCCTAGAATTTAAAAAATCTCCAAAATTTCTGCGTTGAAATGATACTTCACAGGGGTAATCCCGGTAATGAAAGCAAATACTACAAGTTGTCAAAAATAAATTCTAAAAAAATATATTTACTAAGCAACGGTAAAATATGCATTGCGAAATTCTAGGTTGTTATGCGTTTCTACTACCGAAAGGTACCCATCCAGAAATCGCTAATTTTTTTTTTAAAAAAAAATTTTTATTAATATCAAATCTCTGAATTTAATGAATAAAATACAATAAATTGAATAAAAATTTACCATTTTTAATATTATACCATATACCCTTAGGTTCTGGTGTCGATTTTTGATTTGATATCTCTAAATCATTATTTTCGTTAATTACTTCGACTTCCTCCTCAAGGAATAAAGGTATTTCTTGCCCATCAGATTCTTGATCGACTAGATTATCCACTTCCATTGAACATTCATTAACTGCTTTTTCTTTAACCATCGATAAATTTTGCCCATCTTCAAATTCTTGTTTAATATACACTTTTTCTCGTTTAATGTTTACATTTTCGCTATCATTTGAGGTTACCACTATTTCTTTTTTATTATTAACTTGACGTGAAGATCGTCTAATAGTGGCTTTTTGTATATCAATTTTTCTTGGTTTGTATGGTCCTCTTTTACGTGACACTGTTGGTACTACTTGATCTTTAGATTTCGACACTTCAGGTTCAATTGGTTTGGTTTGATCTTTAGATTTCGACACTTCAGATCCAATTGGTTTGGTTTGATCTTTAGATTTCGACACTTCAGGTTCAATTGGTTTTGTTATAACAGGTTTTTCACGTTCCATTGATTTTTCAGACTTTTGACGTTTAGGTTGCGGTGATTGTTGAGAAACTCGAGATAATAAATCATGTGGCAAATTCCATTCAGATTGTGATTGTTGTCTTGTACGTCGTTTAGGTAACGAGTTTAAATATGCGTATGTTTCTCGGTTTGATCTTCTGGTTCGTTTGATTTTTTTCGGTAAAGTCGTTTTTTCTTTCTCATCAATGACGATTATGTCATCATTTGGTTCTTGTTTAATCTGAATATCTCTTTCATCATTAAGATTATCATTTATGACTTTTGGTTTGACAGATGAAATTTTTTCAAGTGATATTACTTGTTCGACCGTTATTACTTTTTCAGAAGCTGATTTGTGATTAGATGATGCAATTTGCTCCGATGGAGATGGTTGTCCGGTTAGAGATACATCAATTCCTAATGAATCTTGAATTTTTGATAATTTTACATGTGATCCTTCATGATCTTTTGATTTTACACGTGAATCTTCATGATGTTTTGATTTTGCAGGTGTTTCATGATTTTTTGATTTTACAGATGTTTCTTCATGATGTTTAAATTTTACAGATGTTTCTTCATGATGGTTTGATTTTAAAAGTGATTCCTCATGATCTTTTGATTTTACAGATGATTCTTTATGATCTTTTGATTTTACAAATAATTCTTCATGATCTTTTGATTTTACAGGTGATTCTGTATTATCTTTTGAACAAAATTTCATATATGAATCAACTTTTATATTTGTCCTATCACGCCAAAGAGATTCGATGTAAGCCTCATGAAATTCAGGTGTAAGAGTACTTTCATCAAATTTGGTTGTACTAAACGGTAATAGCTTATTAGCAAACCAATGAGTCGCCATTGATAATTCGATATTGTCACGTCGAGCTAAAATCATGCATCGAACCCATCCTTTGGCATCATTCAAATCGGGAAATTCAAAAGTATCCAAGTCATGAGTCTTTCCGAATGGTTTTGCGAATAAAGCGTCAAAACGAAAACGTTTCTCTTTCCGGATGAATTTCATGTTTCCCATGATTACTACAATTGAATTAGGATTATCTATACATTCAGTCATCATAGTCAAACCTTTTGTTATGTAAATGCGAAGATAATCTCTTGTAGTAGAAGAAATATTGAGTTTAGGAGTTGATGGTTTAATCCCATCTCTAAAATATTCCAACACTCCGCGATTGAAATTATCAAGTCGGTCAAGTACTTCAGATGGAATTGATTTTTTTATTGCTTGAGTATTAAATTGTTGCCTTTTATAATTCATTGTTGGGACAACATATATTGATCTAAACAAAAGAAAAAAAAAAGTAAGATCATTACATGAATAAAAGATTTTAATAAAAATAATGAAAATTACTTTGAATTTTTGAGATTTTCAAATGAGAAAGTTGGTATAGCGAAAATTTCTTCGTGAGGTAAAGGCATCATCAACTCATTAATACGTAACGAATCATTACCAAAAACAAGCTTACTGGAATTATAAATTATTACGAATATTAAATAAATATCAATTATATTAAAGATCAATAATAATAATAATATTATTATTAATAAATATATACATACGTTAATTGAGGATATAATTTTTTTACAAAGCACTCGCACATTTGTCTTGCTTCTTCATAAATTTCACCTCCTTCGTTGTGAAAAGTAAAAGCATTTGACAGAATTTGTACAACGTCGGTATATAAACTATTAAGATCCTTATATTTTCCAGCCCATAATCTTTTCTCAGCAGTAGTTAAATCCATTAAACGTGAAATAATACTACGATATAATATAGCATCTTCAGGTACAGGATTAATGAAAGGTCTTGAAAAGGATTTTGTTAGCAATGTATCAAACAGCCAAGTTCCAGCTCTTAATAATTCTTCACGAGACAAACGTCTCGGATCAGCCGGAAGATGATTTACAAATTCAAGTAACAAAAATATGGGAGAATCTTCAACAGGTGGATCCGCAGAATTTGACATCGAATGACTACGCATACGCTTTGTACCACGTCTCAAGTTTACGTCAGCTGTCGGAGAAGTAGGTGATAACTCTTCGGGAGTCAAAGGAGTATTATTAGAAACATTTTGTTGTTTTTCAAAAGAAAGTTTTCGTTTAATCTTTAAGGTATCTTCAGATAAACCGTTTTTACGTTTTGTGGTCGTTGTAAATGATAATACTGGCGTTGAAGAGGGGGTTGAGACAGAATTGGTAGTAATGGTCAACGGCTTTGGTTTCGGATCTTCTTGTTCGAGCTTGACAGCTAAGATAGTCTTTTTTTGTTTATCATTTCCTAAAACTTTGGAAGCGTCTTTTTCCTTTCCGTTTTTTTGAACTGTTTCTTTAAGTTCCTTAATTTCATCGTCTTTAACCCCTTTCTCATGATCTTTTTTTACGAGTTTGTCAAGTTTGTCAAGTTTGTCAAGTTTGTCACTAACACCATTTTTGACTAAAGTTTCTTGGATAGTTGGTTTATTCAAACCTGGTCTATGACCTACAGTATGAGTCTTTCTAAGACCTTTAGTCTTTGTCATTATTAGTTCAAAAAAAAATAAAATAAACTTTCTTTCCGTTTAGCGAATTTTACGATATATTTACATAGACTTTTGGATCATTTGTAGCATCTAAATTCTGGTAAGATGTTTCACCAACATTATTCAAAAAAAAAAATTTATCGTTATGAATTCTTTGATAATTGTGCTACCAATGGATATCTCGAAAAAGAAACCCTATGGTACAAAAAAATTATTTTGAATTATTTAAATCAGGGCATATATTTACAATGCATTTATGCTACAATAGTTAAATCAATTTCTTAATTTTAATTCCGACTAAGTTTCTTGAATTTCTACGCACAAGATGAGCTATCAATTACACATATGTAATAAACCATGTATATGAAATTTCACTTCTTTTCATTTAAAAGAATATAAATCTTTATGTAGAATACGGTATATTTACTAATATATTAATTAGTTGGGTATTATGATTTTGTTATACAATAAAAGAATGATCAAGTTCCCTATTATTTTATTATTATATTTTACAGTACGTATTCATCTTTTGACGGAGAAAAAAAATTGTTTCATGGTTTATAATGGATTGCCGATCTTGCATTCTAATCATTAAATATCGAAGTAAAGGTTATGTTTTTATAATCTTTTAGTGTAAAAATGGTTCTTTATACTGTATACAATGTTGTATAATCTTACAGATAAGTTTCCATCAAGTGTTCAATAAATAATTAGGTGTCTAAATCGGCTAAAAATTTTTGCAAGGCAGATCTGTAAAGGTAAAAAATGTTTGCCATAAAATATTCCTACTTTTTCTATACTAATTATACTAATGAAGAAATTAGTAACAAATTCAAATAATTCATTAGAATATGAAGAAATTTAACTGATGAATTAAGAAATCAAAGTTCTCGTTATTTCAAAAAACCATATAATTGATAATAACTTGATTGGTAAATTTTTTAAGATTCTTGCATCGGAAAAAGTATATATCAATATTGACAGTAATATCGATGCTGTATATATATATATATTTATATATATAGTAATATATAATAAAACAAAACAATAACAAATAAATTTCAATCTCAGTTAAGGGTAAATATGTAATATATACATTATCGCACAAATAAAAAAACATTAAACAAAATTTATTCCAGAAACAAAATTGCACACTTACGTACTTATGATACAAATTATTTGATAAGCTAAATAGAACTTTTATGTTATATGTATGTTATATGAGTGTCGCCAAAAGAAAACCCGACAATTTAAATATAGACTATATTTAAATTGTCGGGTTTTCTTTTGACGACACTCATATATATAATATTTATTGTAAATCTAAAACATGTCTTTTTCAGAATATTTTTCAGAATATAATTCGAATATGTTGACTTAACCTTCAGTTCGTAGAGAAAAGAATTATAGCATAATTTAAGAGAAATCCTTTATGCAAGTGAATGTTTCAAAATGTCATTACTTCTTTATTATAAATATATATAATAATAAATATACAATACACAAAATTAGTCTATATTCGATTAGAACTGTTATTACAATGCCAAAATTTATTATTACAGTTTTAAAATATAGTAACCATCAATACTATAGAAAACTTATTCTATTTTTATGATAATGAAATCTATTCTTCGTGTATCTCAAATTGTGATTATCGTCATCGCAAGCTAGCCTGATCGCAAGGCAGATATCGTTTAAACATCTAAATTTTAATTCTGCTGTCCATTTGTAAACCCATTTATACTCAATTTTGTAGATTTACCGTTTATTCGTGTTGATATATTTCTATAAAGACATTTATAATCCTCAAACATAGCGATAGCACAACGTCTATAAGATCTAATCTACTTACATTCTTTGTGGCTTGGCTTGGCTTACTTATTCGGGCCTAAACTACGTATAAAGAGCTCCCCCGATTTGGTTTGACCCTAAAATTAGCCAATCATGATTGTCGTTAAAATTTATTACAAAATGAATTCTTACAAAAACGGCCTTTTAAACTTACGTGAATCCATAATTAAATGTACGTTTAATTATTAGCTGAAAGTAAGTTCGTTTTCCTAAAAAATTGCTTCCGAATTCACCCTTACCCATTATACAACTGTTCACTACCCGAAAATACCCGAACCTTCAACAACTAGTGATAGTGTTTTCTTTTACGGCTTAGCGTAGCTATTTTATTTAGTGTTTATTGCTTATTTATCTCATATAGAGGCCAAAAACTTTTTATTGAATGTTTCGTTTGTTATTTTTTCGCGTCATTTAAAGGCAAAAGTTTGTGTAACAGTTTATCGAAAAAGGACCCCTAAAAATGAATAGTACCCATAAATCATATTATTAAGTTTATTGCGATTTATAGCGTTTTCTCCTTGTATAGTGCTTCCTCCTTTCCTCTTGGTGCTATTCAAGCTAAAAGAGTTGTTTATCTTTTATAACTTATATTACCGGTAATTACAGATTTTATTGGCAAGGATAAAATCCATCTCGAAATTTTATTGCTACTTATAGTAGACATTCTATGAAGATAGTATCGTTCATATGACAAATATTTAGTGAACATATTTGATTAAATTTCCCAGAAGCAAGTAACGTCAGGAAACAAAATTTTTTATTACTTGCTACTTGCAATATATCTACAAAAAAAAATAAAAAAAAACTTTTTGTAATGGTCGAAAAAGCTTATACATGAATTATTATCATTATAAGAAATCGATTAGCCGATTTTGAAAAAAATCGACCGGCTAGACTGAAAATTAGCTTAAGCCGATTTTTTCATTATTGGCCAGGATCACTACCTGTGTAAACTCCCAAAGTTCTGTGACCATTACTTCTCGATAATGTTCAATTACATCATGATTAAACAATATATCCAATATCTCATCATCTTCATAACATTCGGCTAATAATCTGGCAAAAAAACAAATAAAAACTCCACACGAATTTGCATCCGTTTGTGGCGTTTTTCCTCTTCGAAATTTCACTTTCACTGGCCATTCTTCAAATTCTTTTGTCTTCACATTTTTGCATCGTTTTTTATCTCTATATTCATCTCGTAAATATTGATTAATATTTTCGTTGATAGATTTCTTGTGATGTTGTCCACCTAGTGAATCCCATATTTCAATTTTTCGTTGATGCATTCGTAGCACTGCTAAAACCCAATGTGAATCGCTAAAATTGATCGGAATAAAAACTGTCTCTTTATCAAATATACATGTCCTTTTAGTCCAACGTCTCACCCCTTCATAGTTATATTCTTGATTAGCTGTTAATTTTGTGTAAAAGTATGATGGAAATACATAAATTTGTGGATACTTGGTATTAAGCATGGAAAAGTATGCATTGATATGATCTGATGATAACCAAGTCCATGGATCAAGAAGCTCCTTTATTTTCTCTGTTGTCAAGATATCTGAATTAATAATGATGTTTTCATTGTCTTCGAGATATTCCTGTAACTCTAGGATGGATTGCTTAGAATATGCGATTTCTTCAGGTGGTGTCATCTTATTTTGTTAGCGTTCATAAACTGTGTAATAGTCGTATACTTTTTTGGAAAATAGGTAAATGTTGATCGTTTTTTTTGACTTATATAATTGTATAACAATAAGTTTGAACAGATATCTTATTTTAGAAATTTTGAGTTGCAAAATGCTTAGATCACATGGACACAATCGTTCCCGACCGGAAAGTCTACGGACTGTTCTTACGGATACAGGAACCCGGAAAAGAAAACAATAAATCGGATATCACGCACTAATTTATCTTTTTATATCCGTGAAGGTTACACAATGAAAATTCACAAATTTGATTGGTTAGCTTTTTTGGTTCACCAATCACTTTATTTCTTTGCGCTTTTGTTTGTATAACACTTCATGTGAAAAAAAGATATCTATAGTGATAGCGATAGTGATCTTTCGATAGTGATCTTTAAATTACGTTTTTAGTAAATCTTCACAGACCAACAAAACGTGTAAAATAACCATTTTTGCAGTTTTTAGTAAACTATCATATTATATTGCAACAAACACGCGAATAAGTTTTTACACTGATTATGAAACTCTAATGTATATGCCTGTTAACTATATAACAGATTAAGTAAATTAATTATATATTATATAGTGCAAGCGATTTTTTTTATTATAACGGTTTTTCATATCAATAGAAATTTATCATATGACTAAAGCAAAAATCGAATCTCTATCATTATACGCAATGGTAAATGAAAAACTGACTGAATGATTATTTGGCCGATTTAATTATTAATTAAACTTTTATTTGGCATTATAATAGTAACCGCATAAATTTTCGCGGACACGTGATGATATGCGCTAAAATCCCATTGGGCAATTTAAACCGCAGATCGTCAATGCATTTTTCGATTAGAAATAGAGGACTTTATGAACGATTTTTGAATCAAATATTTATTTATAAACCAATCAGATTATAGAATTTTAATTATATGATTATGTTTTATCTAAAGTAGCCACCTATTCAAAGTTAACACAAAAACACTTTTATATTGGTGCTACAGTTAGACCTCTCTAAATGCATAGCATCAAGACATAGTAAAAATTTTCAAAACATGTATTTAGAGAGGTTATGCATTTAAAGAGGTAAAAATCTATAAGTGTTATATTAAGTTGGACCAAAAAAAAGGCATGCATTTAGGGAGATTTTACATAGATATGTATTTAGAAAGGTTGCATTTAGAAAGATCTGACTGTATATACATCAGCAAAATATATTAACGTAATCTTACGTAAGTTATTATGCCCCAAAATATTGCACAATAATTATGGTCTGGACATAATATTGTGCAAAAAGTTGCAAAATATTGCGCAATATATAACATAATATTACGAAATATATTACACAAAATTACAAAACTTATAGCGCAATATTACGTAATATATTGTGCAATATTTCGAATTAGTTCGAAACAATTTGAATAGACGTAAATGCATCAAAACGGCAAAATATTTATAAATTAAAAGATAGCTACTAATGAGAAAGAAAGGCTAATCAATTCGAATTTATCAGATACTATGTGAAATATTTTAGAGTAATTCGAATTAATTCGAAATAAATTAAATAAATTATAAATAATAGAAAATATATTAAAACATAATAATTATACGATTTATTAGATATTTTCGAATTAATTCGAAAAAAACTAAATTTATAATATTTATTTAAATAAACA